AATAACTCGAACACAGCAACACAAAAGGACAAAGGGACAACCGGATAAGCAAATAACCCCACCGTATGTGAAGAACATTTCGGAAATGACCACGAAAATACTGAAACCACACAACATTCAAGTCGCCCACAAACCAACGACAACCCTGAGGAGAATCTTATTGAAAACCAAGAAGCAACAGGAAGACAGAAATCGAACAAATGTGATCTACCACATCAACTGTAAGGACTGCAACAAGTACTATATCGGTCAAACAGGTAGAAAACTAGCAACTCGTGTGCACGGACACAAACTGGCCGTCAGAAGACACGATGCGCTCTCACTCATCTCAATCCACGAGGACCGAGAAGGGCACAACTTCGATTTCGAAAAAATCAAAGTCGTCGATCAGGCGCGCGCCAAGCATGCAAAAGAATTTCTGGAAGCTTTGCATTCATCGGAAAACTCAGTCAACCGACACATTGACATCGATCAAGTCTACACCCCCATGCAACAAAAGGACCAATCAATGCAAAGGAGGTGAGTCATGTCACACGTGACACGACAGGACAACAGTAACGCTTAGGCTGATCGATTAACGGCCAGCCGTCAGACTGCTCGCGTCCACCTCATCCGCTATCGGCACAAGGCGAACAAACCTTGGCCAATCAGGCGGCGCCACATCACTCAATGACCTATATAAGGAAGAGGACACTCGTAAGCGCTCATCCAGTTACTGCATTGGGCATGTCACCTCGATTGGTGATGAAACGTTTGCAATACATTTGCCAAGCTCGGCGAACAACTGAACATTATATATATACTCGAATCGAGAAAGACTGAAAATGCATTCGAGGCATTTAGATGTATTCAACCGTCTGAAATTAGTTAACATAAGACTACATCATCGCATACTTAAGGGTTTTGGCTGGTGGGATTGAGGGTAAGTCGCTGATGAAACTTGAAAATTAGTAGGGAGAGAGCACAGCACCGTGAAGAACTCCAGAATTATTCGCTAATGGTTTTGTATTAGTGCTATCTGCTTTCGTTCTTTGAATTCTTCATGTGAAATTATCTTTCAACCATGACAATAAGTTGGTGGGGCAACCGAATGACTGTTAATTTCGTAGAAGAAGAGATCCGCGAGCGGAATCGAAAGCGGAAAAATAGTTTAGGAGAACACAACGAACGGACTTTTGGGAATCATCTAAAGATTTGCTAATAAAGTGCATCTATTTGGCTTATACGCAAACTGAAGGGGGTCATTGGGAACAATACCAGTCTGCAATCGGGTGAGAATAGCACGCTCTACAAGTTTAAGTCAAGAGAAAGTGATGACGATAGGAAGAAAGCGTTCAGATGAAATGCTAGATGAAGAGGATTGCCGAATGGGAACAATAGTGAACGGTCTCCAGGACTCCGGAATCGAACATGTGTAAATGGATTGATTAATAAGGGATGCAAACATCTCTGTGCCATATTTGAGCACCGACCAAGATAGACCATCGGGACCAACTGCGTTTGTCGCTTTTGTAGTTTTAAGATGATAGATATCATGGGTGCCGGAGTTTATGCTAGCTAGGTAATCTGTGGGGTACGGAGATAGGAGATCATTTGAAGGGTAAATCAATGCAACATTAATGCTGTCCACGTCAACAATTTTGTTTGTTGCCCGTTTCTTCTGTCCGCAAAGAATGTGGTTGAAATACTGCCAGCTTGTCCAGGCGAAGGCAGATAAATTCTTTTGAGGAATTCACAACCGGTGCCTTCGGCTAGTCACAGTGCAGCGGGGCGACGTGTGAAAACAAAGATCCGTTAGGGGAGGCAGTGTCCAGTTCACCGAATGGACGGGGTCAAAGTGCTCCGTACGCCTCAATGACTAATTGGGTCGGTTACCACTGTGACAACCAGGTGTGGATGCGTGTGGTTCGTACGCTTGTTCTTTGTTGGGCTTTTAACGAACTCCCCTAGGTTAACTGCCAGTGGTTCACCAACCCGGTTATATCCCCGGATGTTGGCTTTCTGTCCTCTCACTTTGGTGGGAAAGTGCCTCCGTCGCGGGAAGGCAGTGAGTAGGGCTTCTTTAACAGAGACTGTTTCGGATGCCGTTTTTAGGAGCATTTTGTCATATGCAAGAGAGGGGTTACTAGCCAGAACCCAACAGACCCACCCCTGACCGTACTCTGGCTTTCAGGGACAAAGCTACCATCCTTTGTAGAATCTTGCATAACTGGGAGTTATTCCTTTCACCACATGTCTCTCTCGCTGAACTATAAGGATCTCACAGATGTGTTCGGGCTTTGAAAATATATGACGAAGATAATATATCATACAAAATAGATTAGAACCTGAGTAATAAATGACGAAGCTATAGGTGACAGTTTGTTGCTATTGGCATTTTTGATGGAATGCAACAGCCGGTGCGGGAACCACAGAGAAAAAATGGAAATTCAGCTAGCTAGTGAATGATTTTTATTTTTATCTTGCTATTCAAATGAAATATTGTGAATTCCTTCACTGCATCCTTGTCCCTTTGTTAAGTATCTTGTCAAGTGCACTTTTCACTGCCAGAAATATGTAATCAACTGCTTGTTTCAGATTAATCAATGCTATTGGAGAAACCTCTACCTCTATGAAATTTACTCAGTAGGCTATTGAGGACCTAGACTCAAATCACTCATGCACTGATTTATTCCATTCATTAACGCTTGAGCGTGGCGATTGATTTATCGATCCATCTTGACGTGATTCTCTTTCTTATCTGGTCAACTGAGGTCAAGTACCGCTGGGTTCGTTTATTCTCTTCTAAACCTCAGTGGATCAACGGTCAAGGACATAACGTTCCCAGGCTGGAGGACGTATGACCAAGCCTCGCCCCACCTTCGCGCGGTAATTCACGCAAAAAGTACTTTTGTTTGTGTAAGAAGAAAGCAGTTCATAACTGGACGGGGCTTTGATGGACGCAGTCCAATCCGTGTTGTGTGACGGGTTCAGCGCCAATCGCTTGGTGGGCTTGCCAGTAGAATGCGATTGGTTCAATTCATTTGAAGTTACAGCGGATACACTTGGAGTTAAAAATGTATAGTGTTACAACGCTGATGTATCCCCGGTGATCTGCATCCTGTCGAGAGCAGAAAGAAACCTGTATCGCAATATTGATAAATATTGCTGTCATCACCGTCGGTTATTGAAAAGGTGGTCGAGAATTCAATCACTCGCTCCTCCCCTTATGGCCCAATATGACAGCCCGTTGAATGGCACAAAGCATGAATTCCGCCCTCACATAAAAATAAGTAAGAATCCTCCCGTTTGAACGGAATTTTCAAAATCCACTCACTGTGGACAACTAAACTGAATTTCCGAATTCCGATAGATTCATCTACCCAAACTAATCCAAGTTGGCAAGAATAAAGTGATCTACATGGAGTGGATCTTCTTGTTTGAGAGCGAGACGATGTAGCTATCTTTCGGATACTCGGTGTTTTTTAACTATACAACACCTGTTAGAATGTACTTATTGGTTCCCCCTCCCCATCCTCCTGGTAATTCGTTCTTTGATTCTGTTCCCCCGCATATCATGCATAGGGAAATGTTTATACGCCTTTACACTGCGCTGTTCAGGATGGACGTATTGAGTGTTTGCAACCACTATTAGACCGATTCGGTTCAGAACACTTGACCACCAAAGATGCCGAGTCCAGGACCGTGCTCCATATTGCTGCACTGTGTAACCAAGTGAGTCTGAATGCCCAGCCACATTGTTTGAAAATTTACTTAATTTATGCGATTTAAAAGGTTTATACGTTACGTGTGCGAAAATTTTCTCTTCCACCAAAGTCAAATGTTTTGGGTCACTAATTGTCTTTGCCCCATTACCGCCGCCTGATTTGTCATTCTCGTTGTATCACTAGGCAGCCCTTGGAGATAAACAGTTTCCTGGTAGTTTCATAGAGAGAATTCGTCGTGTAAATGAAGCGTGAACTGAAGAGCACTGTACAGCTGTTTCGATCTGATTGGGTGTCATCAGCGGTGCGAATCCATTGACCCAAATAGGGATCAAACCCGGGACGTCAAGTAGAATGCAAGCGTGCTACCCACTCGACCACCGGGAAGCTGATCAGATCGTTTCTCATTTTCCATTGACACGATATAGCACCACCCATCTTTGCGAGCTTAATGTGGGCATCGCACATCGCTCATCTCAGCATTAGCCTCCGGGCTCGATTGGATTCGATCCTTAGTTGGGTCGATGGATTCTTATGTTGATGAGACGCGATCAGGTTGAAACAGCTGTACGGTGCTTCCTAGCTTTTCAGTTCACGCCTCGTTTGCTCTTTGCACGCCGAATTTCCTCTATGAAATTGAATCAAATCCTCCTACATTCTCATTCGTGGTAATTATTTGAACATTTATTTAGTCAGTGAAACGTAGAAAAAGAAAAAATGACTACGTTCACATCTACCACATTAGATACTCGCTTGGCAAATTCGCACACCAGAAAACAAAATCCCGCCCATAATGTATGGAGTGAGAGTGGATCTCAAAGTAGTAAACAATTCTTAGCTATTCCCATCAATCATCCGTATTAATTCACCTCCCCCTGACTTCAGTACCTCTGTTCACTCTAACTAGGTTACCTGTCTGGACAGAATTCTCACCTTTGCCGAATCCACTCGACCAATCAATCGGTCAGACGTGTCGACGTCAGAATCCGGACAGCCGGTAACAACGGAACCGCTTACTCAATCACTTCATATCGCCAAGTTGGTCAGTGCTCTAGACAATGCGGATCGAACCGCCCTGATGTTGGCAGCCAGTTCTGGGTCGACAGGTGCGGTAGAGCGTCTTCTAACCGTGCACAACCACTGCATCAAGGTTTTAAATGACTATCATGAGTCGCAACCAGAGTGTCCGGATGCCGATTCAATCGCGAAGATCATCGGACGATTATCGTTAGGATTGCAAGACTCCACTGGACGAACTGCACTTCATCACGCCTGCTTGGCATCAGACGATGCGCCCGGATTGTTGATTCTACAAGCGTAAGTGATTGTTTTATGTATTGTTCCTCGGTGTACTCTTTTGAGAGAAATTGAAACTGTTGCACAAAACGTGAATAAAAAGAAACGATTTCATGTTGTCTCTACCCCCCCCCCCTCCGATCACCCCNCACCCCATTCCAAATGATACTTATCGAGTTTGAATTAAAATCCAAGACCAACTTTGAGTAGCAATTTGTTTGCTCACGAAGTAAACCAATGTTGATTGTTTCCGGCGTTGGTGTCCGCATATGAGTTTCACGCAAAATTGTACTGTAATTGTCTACTTTGTTCGTGCCGCTTGGATTGCACCTTCCACTATAACCGTTTCGCGACGTCGTTCTGTTACTCTGACAGAAACCCCATAACTGCAAACCTCTCTGTCTGCGTAAGATTCCAGCCATTCATCCATCCGAAGGCAACCTAGATAGTTTATGGTTATGGCCTGAAATATCTGGATGATCCAAATCTGACATGTGTTACACATGCCACCAAATAGCTTTCCATGGTGAGCGATATTTGCTGAGGCTGGTAGCGGTTGGAAAAAGATCAAGGGTGGTCAACCGAAAACCTGGCATGAGGGTATGAAAACCCTAACCAGGAGTCTAGGTCACAGGTCCTGTTAGGTTCCCTGGATGGGGTCATCGTTTGTTAAAGACACTGAGTGATATGGCTGGGTGTCGCAAATTGTGGCGCTCGTGCATCCACTCATTATTCCCCTAACACTTATGAATTCTCCATCTTTCGTTTCAATTTGCTTTCAACATTCGAATCTTCATTCTGCTCTTTTATCCAAATGGGGCAACCAAAACCGACGCACGAATGTTCTTGGTTAATGGTTGTAAAAACTGAACTTACTGGACTGAAATCCGACATGCGATTTATCCATCAGAAGTACCGGGTTTTGAGCATTTAAAGATACTCAACTACGCACCGTTTTGCGCAGATCACCTCTCACCACCGCCTCACTGGAATTCACTGTTCCCTAGAGAGGAGCCTCACGATAGTGTGATGATATTAGGTGTAGCGAATTATGGGATCTGGTAACCGGTCATGTTCTCGGCACCAGCTGATAGCGGGGAATCTAGGCAACGAACCCGGTAAATGGTTCACTCCGGATGCCCACATCTGCTTTTGTGGATAACCTGCATATGGCTTTTGATGTACCGATCGCAATCGTGCCACACATCGGAAAGTAAATGCTTGTTCGATAGTATGATATGTAAATTCAGTTTTATTTGATGGAGTGACTCGTTTCGGATAAGTCGAATTGAGCGTTTTTCTGGTTACCTGATGCAATGTTTGGCCGATGGAATCCGACGAGAACAGTTTTCGTTGCGTCTTTCGACTACTTTTTTGATCGACCATTGTTCAAGGCCTCTGGAGCATGTGTTACCCATGCTCCTCCTCCCGAATGAACTTGTGATCCTGGGACTAGGTCAAGTAGACCACATTAAGTTTCCCGATTGAGACCGACCTAATCGAGTAGTGTAGACACTCGATGGCGCTCGTTCATCTGTCCACTTTTTTCGTACATTCGTTTTATTTGCATTCCCCTTTTCCGCCCAATGTCAGATGCGCGGTGTCGTGGTCCGCGCTTGGACGTTCAATATTTGCTCGGTGCTTGTTCCAAATTGGATGACTTTTTTACGTTTGCACGCATATGTAGTCCATTCCAAAAAATACCCGTAGAAATCGGCTGTCAGTGTTTGGATATTTGGATAACAATCGCGACCACTTTGTGAATGAAAAATGCAAACTATTTGGCACAAAGAGCGTGATTTGACTGCGCCAACGTCATTCCCCGTCGCTCCAATTCAGTCAATGCGATGTGGTTTTGTTTAATTGATCTACCTCTCACGTTGTTATTGTTTTTTTACTTTTGACCACGCATCGTGTCATTTGTGACTGTTTTCATCATGTTTGTTTTTAATCTCTCCGCGAGCCAGAAGGGTTGTTTTTCTCCACCGGGCACTTCCTCTATCCAAAATCATGATTTCTGTTGTTTGCCGCTAACATCACGCGAGTGAAATGGCACAACTCAATATGTGTTCAGCCGGCTGATTGCATTGGTTTCCTCGGTTTGCAGTGAAAAGGTTCCCAGTGTCCTCGACTTACTGTTTAGCACGCCAGGTTTTCTTGGTCGCATTGTTTTAAAACAATACTTTTACTTCATTTTTATTCACTGAGTATAGAAATGTACAGTCAACTTTTGGGAAAGGGACTGCGCTCGTACTAAGGCTGCCTGGAGAAATACAGAAGCAGGGAGGATGCGGAATAGTGCCTGGATCATCAAACTCAGGTCGGCCTTGCGAAGCTCACTCAGTCTTCTCTTAAGGACACATTTTAGTTCAATATTTTGCTTCTTCAAAGACCTTAGAAACTATGTTGGGTTGTAACTAGTTGTACTTCGCTTGCAACGCGCCAAATCCCCCCTACGGTTAGCCTTCTCTGATATCTTCTACTGAGGAACCACCTGCTCAGTACCTTCACCTGGCGGAGGTTTTCTCAACCCACAAGTGATGAAACAAAAGTTAGCATCCGGGACTGTATCCGGCAACGTCTAGTGGTTTGATTGAGCATCAGTGTTTATTTGAATCCGTCAAGTGTTTGACTTCGTTGAATGGACGTTTAATCGGATTGACTGAACACCTAACCCCACGGAGCTCTATCTTGCAGCCTTCTTCGTTCAAGCCAACCAGGAATTACCACACTTTCATAGGCTATACATTTCCCGTTTATTGTGTTTCTGTTGTCCGCTGTTAAAAGCCCGATGTATCATATTTAGTATTAGTATTAATACTCCACTTGTTTTCTGGTTTACATCTTGACTGTCGGAATAATTCGACGGTGAGGTGACAAGCGAAATAACGAAAATGGTTGAAGAACTCCAATTGATCTTTTATCGTTGTGCACGTTCATTTTCTGACGCTCTACCTTCTGGTGTATTTGTTTTCTCCGCACCCCACCCTATAGAATGCAAGACGATACGTCCATATCCACTCCAGATCTGCTCAAACGTACTCCTTTGCACCTGGCTATTAGCTCCGGTTTGGCCGTGCTCGTCGAAGCTCTGATCGCTCGAGGTGCCGATCTGTATGCAGTGGATGCCAACGGTCTCATCCCAGTCATGTCCTGTGTCTCCTCGACCCAAGTGAGTTTTACTTCTTCTCCGTTTCCAATAAATTTCAATTGTCGTGCATCTGGATCTGTTTTTTTTATTCTGTAAAACGAAAACAGATCCCGATGCTCTCTGACGCGCGGAAAATCGTGTCAGTTGAACAACGAGTGTATTGAACTGTCGTCTCATAATGTGATTACAGAGTTAAATTTTCAATTTAAATCTTCAGCCTCTTTACCTGGCTATCCTTTGACAACCCATTTCGATCAGGAGCAGAGGGAACTAGTAGAGATACCACGCTAAGGATGCCGAACTCAAGGAAATGAACGAGTGCCACTATTTGCACAACCATTTCTCTCGATGCCTCTAACCAGCGACTGGATCAATTATGAGCATGAGGAGAAGGCACAGGCCCTGCATCAAATGGCTTGGCGTCTGTGTTTGCCTTATTTGAGTGAACTCGATTGTGGTTGGTATGCTGGTTATCAGTTTGAAGTCAGTTTGAATGGATTCCTTGAATCAGTGGCTTTTTTGTTCATAGTTCGGGGGAGGCAAACCGAACAGCCATCACCTCGACGGTGGTTTTGTAAGTACGCTGCCTTATGATGGAGGGGGCACGCGGATTCTGGTGTTATTTGGTGGTCTACATTCACTGAATGATGCAGAACGGCGTTTACTATGGTTCATTTGCCTTCTTGTCTTCATCAACATGAGCAGTGTTCCCTCATCCTTTAATGATAATTGCTTCAACTTACGACCTATGCATTACAAAAGCACCGGGACAAGTAGGTCATTATGCAAGTGGCCGGTGTGTCTTTTTAGCTGGCTCAGATTGTGATTGAACCTGTGACCACACAGCAGTCAAGCTGCATTACAAATTCGCCTCATTGCACACGTTAAGCGTTTGTTCAACGGATCAAAGTCAAAGTTTTATTATGGGCGATTTAATAAAGCTAAAGCTTATCGTGCCCCATAGGATTTTTACAGAATATTTCGAATAACTCCATAAAGAGAAAATAATAATAACAATATACATGATCACTCACGGATGTCGAAATTTTAAGTGTTCAGATGCTTTATCAAGTTGCGATTTAAATAGTTCCACTGTAGGAGTACACACTACATCGGATGAAACAGAATTCCATACGCTGTACATTCTGACTGCAAACGAGTGACGTCGGCAATCAAGGTGGCTGTTCTGGGTCTTTAACTTTAGTGGATGTACCCTGAGGTGATCATGGAACGGCAAGGGTGATTGGGTTGCTGTAGTATGTGATATGCCAAGGTTAGGTCCCCCCGAAGTCGGCGCTATTGAGATGAGTAGAGTCGCAATATTTGCAGTCTTTCGGAGTATACCTTGTTATACAGACATTTTACCAATTTTGTTGCGAACGTTCTAGAGCCTTCTTGTCGCAGCTCAACTAACTGGAACGGATTACTCCGTGTGTGGCCGAACGAACGCTGATAGTAAGCGTGGGAACGGTGCTCTTTTCGACTGCCCGACTGAGTAGTCCAACTGGCTTTAGAGCCGTGGTTGATGCTCTGGCACTATGCGTGGAACATCCTATGTCCTCCTGTATCATAACTCCCAAATCCCTTTCGTCAGTGACATACGGTAGTATTTGGTTCCCCAGAACATAGGAGAAACGAGTCTTGTGCCGCATGGAAATAACTCTGTATTTGGAAATATTGAACTCTATGTCATTTTCGATTGACCATCGGTGGGCTGCATTGATCGTTTGTTGGTGTGCTATATAATCCTCCGGATGTGTTACAGCTTCTGTGCGACTCCTTTTTTCGATGTGTAACGATTCATCTGTGTAAATATCCTATGGGACAAGAGAAGCACCAGCTTGTAAGCTGTTCCCATAATAAAACTTTGACTTTGAGCTCTCCAGATCAAATCGTCGTCCGCAAATAGCAGTGTATTAGGCCCAAAGACATGTGACAGATCGTTTATGAATGCAAGAAAGTGACGGGGCCCCAGTACGGATCCTTGAGGAACCCCTCGGGTAGCAGTGATAGGCCCTGATAATGAATCACCAACACGAACTGGCATAGTTCTTTGTCGGAATCGACAATCTACAGTTTGCTTCTGTTTCCAGGTCAACCGAATCGATTTATGAGCCTTATGCAACATTAGCAACAGCTTTATTGAGTTCATGTCTTTCTGTGTTGGACAAAATATATTGTCCACGTCTCGACAGCATAGGTTCATATGTTCCATATCATCATATTTTCTAATCTGAATATTAAATATATTCATCGAGAATGAGTCTAATGAGGTACCCATGGCTAATTCATTTTTTTGATGGTACAATTTCCGTCCGAACACCTCTTCTGATCGGTTAAACCACCGACAACAACTACGATGTCCGTTTAATGAATGCTTAGCCATCATCGAGAGGGTTCGTTGTAAAAATCATCATTCATATCAGGCAATCGGTCGGCGCGCACACGGACACAGTGTCCGTGCAGTGATGCATCATTCTGTTGTTGTTGGCCTGCACGGAGTCGTGAAGCCGTGCAGTGTATAGTCGACTACTAACTGAAGCGAGCACTCAGTGTTGATACTTCATGGAATCTGGACACCGGTAATTCCAGCAGTGCTGAACACCAAATAACCTGTCACAGTAAACTGTGAGTGTGAAGTCGAATCTTAAGCATGTAAAGCGATAATTGAAGTGGGATCTTGTGTGGATGTTTCGAAGATATTGCATACGTCTACCTTGAAGGTTCTAAGTAATTCCAACTAAGGCAGCTTGTTGACCGATCTGATAGTTCGCGGTTAAGTGAAAGGGCATTCTTGACTTCTGATGTGCCTACCTTACAAGTCACTCTGAGTGATATACCCTGAAACGGCAGAGGTAGGAGCCATTTCGTGCGCTTCGGAGGGAAAGAAAATGCCAAACAGATAACAGCGTATGGTACTCTCCTGCTCATTTTTATCATTTTCCGGTAGCATACTGCCTATATACACATACCTATATATCTACCAACTCATATCATTGTATCTCGTAATCTGATGATTTAATCATTACACAATTTGAATCGAAACCTCCAGCGTTCTCTTTGAAATGTTCCAGATTTTAGTCCCGTCGCATATAGTTGTTCATCATCTGGTGGACCACCCTGATGTTGGAAGCATGGCCCTATGTGCAAAAGATTGGATAGCATGTTGGAATAGATAGTTGTGCTTTGAGTAAAATAACTAATTAATGACACTACCACGGTATTTGTCAATCACACTCGACACAATAGCTGCACGGTCACATGCCTTTTGATTGTCACTCAAATTATGCGATTACAATCACACATTATCGAGTATCTGTCATGATGTTTACGTTTGGATGGATACTTGTTAATCAATTACCTGTGTCAGATGCGTGTATCAAAATGGCTCCGTTTTCGTGATTTTCCCGATGCGATAACCTCAGTACTTGCTCTGACCTGGCTGAGTAAGCCTGCACCCACCCACCCATTTGCAAATCATTCTCCTTAGTATATAGTGATTTGTTTGACGCAGTTTAGACTTAAAATCATGCGCAATATTTATACACATAATAAATATCACCTGTCCCCGCAAGTGGCTGTGTCAGCGCTAGAGGCGCACCCTCAGAGGACTAGACCCAGTAGTATTGGAAATCCCATTTTGTATTTTTCCGTGCGGAATACTTTTTATTGCGCCGTTTTCATACTATTTCGCGGCAAACATATTCACCATTTTTGATACTGTATTGAATTAAGTTGACAGGCTTTTGTAAATCGTTAAGCCTATATTTCAATATAAGAGAACCGCGTCGATCTGCTTCAGAAGAACTCACAGTAAAAAAAATACACAAACTGCTGGACAAACATCATTCCCCTCAAAAGTTTCATTCTCTAGCTAGTAGCGTCATCGTCTTATGTCTTTGTGTAACACACAAAGTGATTTGCAGCAATAGTGGCAGTCCCTATAGACAAAGGTACTGTACGAGGGAAGATATGTGTGTGCTGGCGGGGGGGGGGCAATCAGGTGAGAACCAACCGAATTTTCATTTTGCTTTCCAGTAATAGTTGTCCAGCAAGCGATTTATTGATACTTTTTTACTTCACACTTGATCTTGCGGGGTAATTGATGCACTGCATAAAAATCTCCCCTATTTAAAAGCAGTTTCCTGCGGTCTTGCCAAAGGCTTCGTTAGAGGGAAGGTTGTCCTGATTTGGAGGGAAAATAGCCCCACATGTACAGCATGAGCCCAAAGTGGCATTTGCTGTACGGGGGATGACGTTGCCGAGCATGATAACCCAAATCGTTGCAGTTTGGGAAAACCAATTTGATTTAAACTGCAACTGCTAAGCTTATTTTGTGCGAAATTGTGATAAAACCATTTCGCGCAATTTATATTTCCAAGTTTATCCTGAGATAGTGCCAGTAGGCTGATTTATTGTCCAGTGGGCTCGAGTTATCACTGCGATTTCATGTCTCTTCTTAAAGCTGAGGTGTTTATTTCTCACACTCCAACCATCTATGTTGTCCGGAGCTTCATTCCATCCCTGTGTGGTAGAACCAGTGTTCTCAGTTGTTTAATTGTGACGGTATTGCATCATAGTTCAGCTCATCTTCCGTCATAGTTGATTTTTTAATCTCAGTGTTCCACTTTGATTTGTTATTCTTTTGGAAATGATTTGTATGTCATGAATTAAGAAGACAGGACGAACTTTGTCACTTCATGCTCGTTTCTGCATTGTTGCTGTCCCCAACCTACCCTGAAATTTCCTCTTTCAGGTTGCCACCTGTCTTTCGTTGGCCCTCGCGGCCATGTTCCCGCCGTTGGATGGCGCACCAGAACATCCGTTTCTTCGGTCCAGCCAGTCACGTTCATCCAATTTGCACTCACGAGCAAGCAGTGTGCGTGACACGGAAAAGCCCGACTCGGATGGGTTGCAGCTGATGAGCGCATCCATGGTCCAGCCGTCTCGACCGATGTTGGCCACGGTGGAAACATTATCAAACGGTCGTACAACTCCGCGACCGCTATCCTATCCGGGATCGGAATCGGATTTTTTCTGACCATTATTTTGCATGCCCAGTTTGCATTTATCAACCCCACTCTCCGGTCCCGGCCTTCGCCTTTCCCTCGAAAATACATAGACACATTGCCTTTCTCTCTCTCTCAAGTTTCTTTTCCGATATGCTGTCGTGTTTTCACTTTGTATTTTGGCTTTGCTTTTCCTACACACCTTTCATTCACAATTCGTTTTGTCATTCCTCCTTTGGGTGAGCAGTCAGGCTGTGTTGTCAATCTGTGTGTATGCCTAGTAATAGTCATATGTCAGCTTATGAATATCCACGTTAGTGACCGCCCACGTTCACAGTGATCTTTGACCTGACAACCTGTGTGGCTGAAGTGCAAGGGAAGTTCAGTCAGTTGATATTCCCCCTGTGTGTACATGGTTACGCATAACGTGGCTGTCGTATGAAGACGAACAAGTTGCTGTTCTCAATGAACGATTGTGTTTGATGAATGAAGGCGCCACAGATTTTTCGGCGATTATTCCTCACTCTCGAAACTGTCGACTACTTGGTGTCTTTCTTGTGCGCCTGGTCCAATAACTGGATTTGATTGTAGAGTTTAGATTATTGAACAGTTTGTACTGATCAGTCAGTCCCCGAGAACAGATTTTTTCAGCCTTAATTTTTTAAATGTGCTCATGGCATTTACACCGCAATCTAGCTGGATGAATTTGCTTTGAATTCAGTTAGACCGGAAATTATAAACGAATTGTACTGCTCTCAGTGGAGTCGTGGGTTATACGATTGTACACAGGATGTGAGCTCAGCCAGTCTTAAAATATAAACAGGTGCCAGGCGACAACGCACTTCGATTCGCCTGATGAATTGGCGTTAATATGGGCTCCAGACGCGGACTCTGCTTTATCCAGACTGCAGGGGAAGTAGAATNGCTGGCATTGGTACGATTTGTCTATATGTTTCTGTGTTACTCAGTTCAAATCAAACTCCTCCACCTAGATTGCGACATGAATGCGATGACCACATCACAAGTTTCGAATATCAGTGTTGAAAAATTTGGTTATCGAACTGAATGCTCGCTGCGACTTGTTCCGTATGGATCCCAGTCAAACCTCCAATCGTCTTAGCTACAGTTGTTAGTCCACACACGGAACAACGGTTATGAGACTGCGCGGAACATTGCGAAGTGCTCTATTGCGGTTGACTCCTTGGATAGGATAAGTGAGCTCCATGTAAGTTTGATAGGAGAAACGTTACGACGTGTTCTTCGAGGACACCTCTAGCTTTCAGAGTGCAAGGTAGCCTTGTGTTTGTGGCTCCTTACGTAATCATTCGGTTGGTGTACCTGCAATCCAGGTTTCCATCATAATCTTTGTATCAGACAGTAGATCTCGTCCATCCATTAAGGTGTAGCTGGCGTAACCCGTCTCGCCAAGGCTTTTAGACATCGGTAATCCTCAACCTAATTTATCCCGATTGTTCACCGGTTTTTTTTCGCTGATGCGTTTCTCAGCATCATGGAACCACAGTTCTGAGTCGGGCATATGATAAGTCCCAAAGAAGGGGACACGACTGGCAAATGATTCTGTGATATTGCTCCTAGTTGCAGTCTGCGAATAAATTTGGGTTGCACGGCGCTGTGATTTGAGTATTTCCAGAAAGTGATTTGGTCGTTTGGGCCAATAACCGCCTTAAAATCAGGGATGAGAGATGATAAACCATAGAAATACACACCCGCAGCAGAATTATTGAACCTCCGACCTTGGGGTTGTGTTTATGTAAGCCCCCATATGCAGGTTTATTAGGGAAATCTTTTACAGATTTTTAAACCGGTTTCAATAAGGGTGCCATCCGTTTGTCGCCGTGACAATTGTTTTTCGGTGTATATTCGTAAAAATAACAGATAGTTGGATGATATTTCTTATTTTGGTTTTTGATTCGAGTACGATCTATACCCTCAAAAATGGTGTTGATTGCGCATATGGGAGATAACCTTGAAATCTAAGGAAGGGAGCTCAACACTTGTCGCAGTGTGTATACATATTGATTTCGACTAAATAATCTGTAATCTCCATCCTCACGAGCTTTCACAGTTCACCCAGGCAACCATGCACTGGGAAAGCACTATAGTCGAGTTTCACTCTTCTCAGAGCTCATCAGTAGTGTGTTTATGACTTCTGTATGCATAGTGGCTATATTTCAGTCAATGCACATAGTAGAGAGGGAAAAGTCAAGTATCAAAACTTTCAAAAAATAATCTCCGACAGCCTGTTCTTTGTTCATCAGAGTACGTGCTAAGAAGTGTACCGCATAGTCACAAAATATGTTTACACGAGAGGGACAGGACACAACGATATTGGGATTCATAGTTGCCGGATGGGAACGACAGGAAAACAAATCTGTGGGCAGTTGCTGAATAGGATCCATGATAACCCTTTGTTTGCAAACGTTCCTCGTGCATTCACATGATGTTTATACAACTTGGTGATTAACTCCTCCAGCGGGATTGAAGAGATATTGTATTGTGTTGTGTATAACTTTTGCACGCACCGGAGCTCACATTTCAGTTAAAAAAGTCATACACGCTAATTTTAATTCCTTTTCTATGTAATTAGAATGGACTGCCTTCCCGTGGTAAGCCTGCCAACAAGTGACGTAAAGTTGCGCTTCCAATGCAGTGAAAACCATGACTGTCTTGTGATACGGTATCATTAATAAGAACCAACTAATGACATTATAAACAATATATAAACCTTGATTCGTGAGATAGCTGGGTTAGGACAGTCATCAAGGCATTTCCAGTTATAAGTGCGTCAAATAAGACTATGACAATACTCGGCTGTGTCGAAATACACTTTACAACCGAAGTGCTTCCGCAGGGGACAGCTCACTGTTGTGCCAAAGAGAGGATGTGAATAGTCAAAATAAGTCCTGTCAGGCATTAGCGTGTAGTTCCCAAAGGATGAGCCAATCGTAAGAGAATTGGACTCACACAATTCGACCTCTCAACAAACAACTACCAGTGTGCGTGCATGCGCGCGTGTGTAAGTGTACATGAATAGGTGACGCCCAAGGAACAATCAGAGCAGGTCAGTCACCTGTGCGTGGGTGGTTAGATAAGAGACAATCGATAAATGGTGAACCGGTACAGGACGTTGACAGAATGAACATGGGTCAACCAATAGAAAGGGACAATTGAGGTCACAAGGGAACTCGTGTAGTTGAAGGCATACGAGTGAGCGGTGTGGGTGTTTGCATGTCCACATGCTTATCGGAGATTAGGAAAACTAAGCGCTCGCTCAGTTATGTCAGAAATTGACAAAGAGAACGAAACGAATGTCCGCGGGACAAAAAAGGAGCGATGGAATGGGCAATGAGACGAAAGAACAATAAATCACCCTGAGGAAAAGAATCAGCAGCGAATGATGTTGCATTATGTACAGTAGGATGGGAAGAAAGCCATGAAGAAACGTCACTAATGGAACGCCTAAGAAGTGTATCGAGGGTCAGAGATTGTGAAGGTGAATAGTGATTTGTTTGGTTTTTCTAAATGCACTGCTAACCGGACGGATGTCTTAGGAGAATCAAAGCGTGCTCATTGGTGGAAACAGGAGCTGTGAGTTTTAAAGTCAACTGTTCCGGGTGCTCGGGGTCTAACCTGTCTACAAATGGATCGGTCGTGTGATTTTCGGGTCGGCACAGGAGGGAGATAGATTCTGAATTCGATGCTGCCTAAGTGTAGGTAGAGAATCAGTTGTGAAGCGGTGTGCCATGTGGGAAATTCGGAATGGAAAATGCTCAAGCCATGATGACACGCTTGACTCGTCTAAGATACACGCACTATTTTTCGAAGTGGGTTCGGTAAACAGATAATCATAATAAAACTTTGAATTTGTCTTAATAACGGACAACAACACACCCTAAAGTAGGCCCACGCAAAACTTCTTTTTCCCCAACTGGCTGTTTTCGCGTTGAACGATCTCGCTAACTATGTCGGAGATAGAATTCCGAAAGAACGAAAGAAGAAATATTATGGAAAGATTCTTATTCAGTGTATAGAAGTTTTTCAATATGTTTTCGAATCTGCTGCTTGCATAGCAAAATCCGGTGAAGATAGTTTTCTTTCACTTTCAGAATGGTAGCAGTTGAAATACTTTCGTACTGCACCACAATGCTCTGCTTATGCTCCTCGATCGTACTCGGTTTTCGGGAATAAACGGTTCGCTTTAAACATCGCCGCAGAAAGAAATCCAAGGGGGAAAGATCAGTTGATCTTGGAGGCCATTCCTTTGGTCCTCTTCGACCAATCTATCTGCAGTTAAATTCCGAGTCAAAGAAACTTCTCAACACCAGAGCATTGTGTGGCGGTGTACCCTCATTTTGTAAGCAAACTGCAGTTTCTATATGCCGGATGGCAAGTACCACATTATCTTGTAATATTTGCATGGGGCTCCTTAAACCATTTATTAGGCAAAATTGTTCTTATCTGTTACGGTTCCGTTGAAAAAGTGCTTCCCGGCAATCTTGCCGTTGAACAAGATTTGTTGAATTCCTTTAAAGTTCGTGAAAGGTTTTCTTGTTCGAAATTTAACTGCAGATAGATTGGCCGAAAAGGACCAAAGGGATGGCCTACAAGATCAACTGATCTGTCCACGGTAAACTTCTTTCTGTGGCGATATCTAAAGCGAACCGTTTAGTCCCGGAAACCGAGTACGATCAAGGAGCTTAAGTAGCCGCAAAGACCAACCTGGTGTTTACCCAGCGAATCCGAGTGAGAAACCACACCTCGCGTTAATCAGGCCCAGTGAACTTCGACTGTGCAGCAAGGTTGCCATCATCACATGCATGGACAGGACGTGGCGACAAGAGCATCCCAAAATGTGCAAGATGCTAAGTCGGAAGTCCCTTGTTGGGGGTGAGCGATTCCAAGTGCCGCAGATCGCGCAATATCACCCAATCAGATTAAACAAGAACTCAACAGGAACATAATATTTAGGGACACAGGTGAAAGGAAAGAGACCAAGCGAAACGATGAAGAA